CAACCTGGGCTGGTGGGAGGTGTCCCTGCCCATGGCAGGGGGTGGCACTGGGTGGGCTTTAAGGTCCCTCCCAACCCAAACCATTCTGGGATTCCAGCTGCATGTCAGTCATTCCCCCACATATACAATTATTTCTGCAGTTTTTCACACTTTAACTCTTCCTCAAAGGTATGATTGAATCAGGATATCAGGCTCCAGCTTTTAGTAAATTACTTTTATTGCTTTTAGCTGATGTCGTCACCAGTTTCCTGTTGATCATCATGCTGTTTGTCATCAGCTTCAACCTCCTCCTTGGTGTGGTGAAGGTAAGTTCTCCACAAACAACATTTAGCCGCTGCTGAGGTCTCTCTGAGTTAGGAGGTATTAGAGGAGGGGCTTGGAGGATGCTCATTGAAAATGCTGAAGTATGATCAAAGAAGCAGATAAGAGGGGGAAGCATCTGGTTTGCAGTCGCAGGTTCATCTGCAAGGCTGCTAACTGCCAGATTTACCAAATCTGGGTGACATTTCCACCAAGACTATTTTTTGCGTTAAGGAATGGAAATGTCATGATTTGGAAATGTTGGTTTACTGCGTCGTTTCCTTAATCTTTTGGAAGTGAGATCCTGGAAGGGAACTGTAACTCGCCTGTCACACTGGGGATTCATTTCCCGTTTCAGAAGACGTGACCATGCATTGGTGTGGGAACCCTGCTTTCTCTGTAATGGTAAAGTTTGGGGACAGCTGAATGACAGCTCAGATAGGATTAAGTGCCAAAATCACATAGTGAAAATTCACAGAAACTTTCCAAGGGGGTAAAAAAAAATCAATGTTGATGCCCTTCATTGTTTCTGAATTGTCACCACAGTATGTGGAATTAGATACAGAAATTCCAGGGAAATATTTATTCTTGGAGTACCTTAATATGTGTCCTTTCAGGAACTGATAGCTGGTCTTGTTTTTCTTTCTTAGAAGAGGGAACGTCTCCTGATCCCATTCCTTGCTCTACAAGTCATGGACTTTCTCCTCAGCCTCCTGACAATGTTCAGTTCCTACATACAAGTCCCAGCGGTCGTTTCTGTGTCCTCCCTTAGCCACATGGTAGGTAACAGCTCATTTCTGGGGTGGTCTTCTCTGCTCTCTGTGAGATGGAGACATCTCAGAGGATGTCTCATCATAAAGGATCATTACCTTGGGCCACGGTTCTTCATGGCGAGGTAGTTTCTGTACTGGCTGGAGACAGGATGCAATCCTTGGGGGCTAGAGGGTGTGCAAGGAAAAGTAGTGACAACTGGGACATTGTTTGGTTTCCCATGTCTGGGAATCTTCCTGTTGATTTTATTTGCTGTCTCATGGCTTTGGGGAGGTCATTCTGGGTGTGCCCATGCTAGGAAAGGTTTGCTGGAGATGAGCTAGGAATATCCCTGCTCCAGTTAGAGGTTTCTTCTATGGGGCTTGATAAATCAGCCCCCCAACAAGACGGTTTGCTCATCATTTTGGCTAGTATAAGTGAATTCAACAGCTTAGGTCGTCAATGTGAACAAAGCACAGGTCCTGTGGAAAATGTGGAAAATCTACAGAAGTGACACGATCTTGTAATCATAACCAAATTCCTGTTCCCTGCCCCTCTTGCAGCAGGGACACTCGAAGATCCCTTTCCTGGCTCTGCAGGTGCTGGACTTCTGCCTGAGCATCCTCACCCTCTGCAGCTCCTACATGGAGGTCCCCACCTACCTCAGCCTCAAGTCTTCCGACCATGGGGTAGGTTTTGAGCAAGCTCAGCTGATTTTTCACGCTGTGAACCCCTCTGAAGTTTCCTTCAGGGGCTGTTAAGACAGAGAAAACTTTCTCTGATCTCTACAGTATACCCAGAACTGCTCTGTTTGACGAAAAAAGAGGATTTTCCATGTGTCCTCACCAACACAGTGTTCTTGACTGGCAGCTTGCTTATGAATGTGTTCCTTAAGAGTACACCTTGTTATTCTTGTAAGAATCTTATGGATGCAAATTGCAGAGCAAAATTATTTGGATAGAGCCAGCCTGCATGCATTGCAAATGCATCAACTTTTCATCTTTATTAAACAGTCATACTGTCGGTTCTCATTTAAATAGTCTTCTGAAAACCTTTGCCAAAGGAGTGTAAACAGTAGAAGGAAAAAGAAAAAAAAATCCCTGTACTCTTTCTGAGGAGGAAAGGAAGGTGGCCTGTCCCAGCTCTCTGGAGGCGGGTTGAGAACCTTGCTGAGATCTCCACCACTTGGTGTGACCTTGGTAGATGGAACAAGTGTTTATGACTGAGACCCTCTCCCTCTATTTCACAGGGCTTTTTACCAACCATGGAGAAGTTACCAACAGAGGAATATGCCAAAGTGATGGTCACCTTCACCATTGCATTCATTGCTGTCCTCTTCCTGAAGGTAAATGGCTGCAGGGTCTGGTGAGGCTGAAATTAAGCTCTCTTGCCTCCAGAACGGGAGAAATTGTTTTACTTCTCTCTCAAATCTGCCAGGGCATTGGAAAGCCTTGTTCATCTCTCCTGAGGCATAATAGGAGCTATGCCTCAGCCTAGGGTCTGAGGCAGGTCTAATATTCAAACCATTGTTTTTATGCTTCTGCAGATGTCAGTTATAAAGCAAAATCTCTCTTATATCCAGAAACTATTTCTGGCCATTCCTCTCTAGAAGGATAAGATGTTTGAAAACAAATATAGGAAACTCTTCTGCTACTGTGTGCCAAAATAAATGAGATCATTAAGCAGCAGGTTAGATCTTCCACTCGGGTAAGTCGCTGTATCCGCACTGATGTAACTGGAGTTATGCACACTGATACCCTGAAATTTAATTAAAACCTGTGAGCTGCTAAATCCTGCTTACATCTCAGGAAACTCCACTGTGAGAGGGTTTCTATTCTTCTTGCTTCAATGGATCAGAGAACAGGTTTTTCACTGAGGGGTTTCAGACCAGCTAAGGAAACCAGAGCTTTCCAGGTACTTGAGCAGATTCTGCCACTGTGAAAAATGCTACTTAGTAGCTGGAAAGCATTTTTCATTCAGACTCTTCCCAGGTGGCCAGACAAGCCAGTGTGGAGTGTCTTGTATGATTGCACTGCAGACATGACTTTAGCATATCTTTTAATATTTGCATAAATTGTGCAATAGGAGTGGAGATAACCCCAAAACCCAGCTGGCAGTGTGGGTTTCCAGCAGAAATCTCACTGACCTGGCAAATCGCTTGGTTTGAATTTTTACGCAGGATTAGCTACAAGACTGCTTAACTTGCGATGGCTTCTTGTGCTGGAGTTTGTAGGAGGAGGGAAAAGGGTAAGGATAATTAAAAAAAAAAAAGGACAGGCACAAGTACTTGCTGGTCTACAAAACAAGCCATTAGGAACCTCATCCTTTAAACTTAGTGACAATCCCTCCTCTCTTCCATGTGTAGCAAAATCATTTTCATGAGAGAGTTCCTTCCAAGTTATAAAAGATCTGATGAGGAACATGGCAACAACATGAAATATTTTAGACCTAAAAAGGCCATTTGGCCAGTTTAGGGCCCATCAGTCTCAATTCACTGAGCCTCCACACCAAGGCAGCATTTAAACATGTTGGACTAGCCCAGGAACTTTTTGCATAAATTGACTTGCTTAATGACCCATCACAAGCATTTACTGCTCTTACGCTAAAAGGTTGTTTATGTGTATCTGGTGCTGTTTGCCTGCCAGCTTGCAATTACTGTCCCCAAATACTTATCTGCATCCCACATCATAGCATCATTCAGCTAAAAGGTGGACTGTCAGATGGAGAAGAGATGGGGCACCTGCCCCACTGAACGCCTCTGCCAGTGACCTCATATGAGATCCGCTAGACTCTGCTCACCCTTTGAGCAGGAAGATTTCTCTGACGATGCTAGGGGGGTGGTAACGCTCCTCTCCCTCCTTTCTCTCACGTAACACCACCCTTTGCAGGGAGCAAGTCCTGTTGCAACGTGTAAGTCTCTCCATGCAACCTACCGGTGCGGTGGCTGGTTGTATGTTTACCTGTAGAGCCCCAGGGGTGGTATCATCAGTTGTTTATGTTCTTTGGGGATGCAAAGTATTTAAAGGGCAGAGCGAGTGAAGGGGTGATGCTTACACAGCACCGTTAGGGCAGTCTCCCTTGCTGTCTGTGTATGCACAAGTGATCTTTGTCTCACCTCAGTATCATTAAGTCATCCCCCTCCACCACCACGGTGATAAGAATGCAGAAACCAAGGGGAATAAAACATTTCTGATGGGAAATGAAAGGAGAGGTTTAGCTCGCTTCCTGACCTCTAGGACAAGCTTCCCATCCACTGATAATATCAACTGCTGCCAGCAAAGTTTTCCCTCTTCAGTTCAGTGTGGAGAGGGGTATCCTACAGTGACTCTTGAGTGTTTTGAGTTAGACAGTAATGGGATGGTCCCAAGGTCACCGGCTGCCTTTACATAAGTTTTGTGGACTAATGTATTCTCCTCGAACCTGCTATTGCTTGCAGCAGTCTTAACTGAAGTCAACTTCATTGAATTCAGTGAAGAGGCAGGGTTTGCACTGCAGCAACTCTTCCAGAATCAAAATCAAAGAAAAGATTTTTCTTTTTTGTTATATGATTTATTTTTTTTTTTTGGTTGGGGTTTCTTTCACAGATGAGTGGATTTTTTTGTACATTTTATACGACAGCTCCAGTGTCTGGCATGTTTGCTCTCTGTATGAAGAGGCTTTTGAAAGGGGGAAGGTTTCTGCAGTATTCCCTAAAGGTGGTCAAAGTTTGGACTTAGCTCCTCATCTCTGGAAGTTTGTTTGAGAGATGGATTCCTTCAACTCAGATGCTTAATTCCTTGTTCGCGTTCTTTGTCTTGGCTTTGTGTCAAGACAAACAGTTCTCATTGTTCTAGGAAATCCTAAACTCCATGGCTTGTTCTCAGGGCATATAACTCCCTATGTTCCTTTGCAAACACCAGCTGCTTTTAAAGTAGAGTCTTATGCCAATAAAAATAAGAGGCACACGACTTCGCCCCGCTGCACAGAGTAGGGAAAATATTTATTTAATATGGTATGTTTCACAGGCCTTGCTTATTTTCTTGTGCTACAATCCATCAATCGAGCCATTTTTCTCAGAAAAGCTCTATTTATTGCATCTTGTAACTCTGTGAGGTGTGAGGCGGTCTTGTCAGAAAAGCGTAACTATCGCAAGTATAGGATTTTGTTGAATGAGCTGACCTTTCAGGTCAGTCCTAGTTGACCAGGGAGCCTTGGATCTCTGGGAGGTGGATGTTGTGCCCAAGGTGCTTTTTTGAGACATCCAAACTTTGTAGCCTGATCAGAAAAATAACGTGAAAGACATGCTTTCCTTTCCTACCTGATGACACTGTGCTCTCAGAGGTCTTAAGCATGTGCCTGATATTTAATGGTATTACTAGTCCGATTGACTTCCCACACCAGTGTGCTGTTTTGAATAGATGGAGTTGTCATCTTTCTATGAAGGGTCAGGAGAGACTGATTTAAGGCCCTGGGACACATGATGCCAGGCTTCTACCTCCTGAGAAGCGAGCAGGACAAGAGCAGGCTGATGGCAACAGTGGAAATGCTCTCGTTGACTTGCAATGCAATGGCAGACTTCCCTTTCCTTTTCAGGCCTATATGTTCAAGTGTGTCCTGAGCTGCTTTAAGTATCTTAAAGCCAGCAAGAGAGAGGAGGTCAAAGTCGACCCACAAGCAGTTGAAAAGGTGAGTAAAGACTGCTTCAGATTTACACCATGACAAGGCATGGTTTAGACTGATGAGATGCTCGATGATCCTTAATTTTGCTTCTTTGGTGGTCTGAGAGATAGTTCAACCCTTCAAATGTGCATTAACAGGCACTAATAATTGCTTTCCAATAATATTGTATTCCTTTAACTTTACTTTTGTATAAAATATTTCCAAGTCAATTGTATCTGCAAGGAACCTGAAACTCAGGCTTCAGGCAAAGCAGATAAATGGGAATACATCACTTGTATTCTCTGATCCAGAGAGGTGTTTTTAATTTCAGTTGAACTTTGGTTTCTGTGCCTAATAGTGCTACCCTTGTTTAAAATTAAGTTTGTCTTCACCTTTCACTGGAACAATGGCTGAGAAATTTGGTGCATTGCCCTTCATCTTAACAGTTCACTAAATAATATCAAGGTCCTTCCTTAGATTAGTGATGATCTCTCTAATAGTAGCATCCAGCTACTCTGACACAATGGAAAGATATTGAAGCACCTTCAAAAATAAGAGAGATTGTAAAGATGGATGAGAAGTAGAGAGGAATATGGAATGCTAAGCTTAGGCATTTATCTTGTTGCAACTTGGCAAATACGATGAGCCATGTCTTGCCAGCAGTGTGTGCCTCTGCTGTGCATGTATCATGGCCCTCTGCAATGATCTGAGTTTAACTTCTTTACTCATCAGCAATGAGGCTGATATTCTGGACATTAAAGAGCCTTGGTCCGTTTATTGCAACCGTGCTTTGGGAGAAGGAGGTGGGACTGGCAGCAAAGTGGTTATAAAGTGCTGCTGACCTCTAACTCTTCTGGATTTCTGCCCTCTAGCTCTTACAGCCCGTGTGGTTCTTTTACCCTACTCTAAACTAGGCAGAGAAACACATCCAAGGTCAAATCCACTTGAAACCCTTCCTGTGATGCCTAGAGCATAACTAATGGTCTTCTCTTTCAGGCTGCGCTGCCATCATATGAGGAAGCCTTGGAGTTGTCTTCCAAGGAATCCCCACCGCCCTATGCAGTAATCTAAGCTCCACCCATGGAAAGAAGACGACATCTGTATTGCTGTTGGTGCCTCTTAGACCCTTCTGTCAGATCGCCAGCCTCATTGAGAAGTCCTTACTTTATAGCAGTGCCATGCTTATTCCAGTCCAGCTCACTTTACGAGCCTACAGAGTGATGGTGAACCACTGGAGCTGGTGCCTTGTTCTGCACCCACAGTTTTGACCTGGTACTACCAAGCTGCAGTGCTCATTTTAATAAACCAGGCACCACAGAGGTTTCCATCACTGGCCTCTGACACCTGGCTAATGTGAAGTGTAGGCACTGGCCTGAATCCCTCGTCAGGCTTGCTTTATACCAGCAAGATGCTGTTTCTCATCTGTCTCACATCTAACTCAGCAGCTGAGACATTTAGGAAGTGGAATGGGGGAAAATGGGCAAGAACCTTTTCACTGAGATAGTCCAGCCCTGAAGCTCTGCTAACCAGCATCTTTTAATGAGGACCCTCTGGGAAAGGGATCAGCAAAAGAATGAAGATTTCAAATGAACTATGATGCAGCTCTCATCCTGTCTGCTTATGATGATGATTAATAGTGTGTGCTCCAGAACACACACCATGCTGGAATTGTCATCGTGTTGTTCTGCCATTTTATACTTGAGTGTTTGCATTTGTTTTTTTTGCTTTTAGTGTGACTTGAAAGATGAATTTCAATTAAAAAAAAAAACGGCTTCAATACTTTGCTGTCTGATTTCTGAACGATGTTGTCCTTGCTATCCGAAGTATGCCACAAGGAAGCGACAGTTTGCTTTCTAAAAACATTATTTAGCTAAAAGGGGTACTTTGGCCTTAAGCTGATGTTGTCTCATGTGTGTGCTGCTCACAAAGGAAAAGATGGTATTTCTAACAGCCAACCTGTCATTTTCATCTAAAAATCTAGCTTGTTCCTTCCTCTTGTATGTTATGACCGGTGATAAAGCTCCTGCTTTCTGTGGCGTATTCACAGCTGGCTCTGATTGCACAGGTCAGTCTCTGTGGATGGTGGTGAATAATGCTGCTGATGACAGATAAGAGGTAGCTGGAATTCAGCATCTGCCCACCTTTTTGGATCATTGCCTGCTTTCCAAAACAACTCAGTATGAAAGTGTAATTTGCTCAGTAATAACTACTCCAGCATCATCAACAGTATGGACCACAGGCTGGGGTCTTTGCTGTGTTCTGAAACAGAAAAGAACAAGCTCCAATGGAAGATTTTCCAAATTATAAATGAGAAATGTTACTGCTGCCCCATGTTCTTTTCACTGGATATGGATTTATGTATATGGGGATGAAGACAATGACGTTGGTCACATACTTTTAAGCTGGTTTTCTCATCACTGAAGATGGATGATGGTTCCCTTTCTCTGTGCATCTCCCTTGTTCTGGGGACCAGGATACCCAACAACAGACAAGAAGGGTGTACCACAATGACATCTTAATGTCTCCAATGCTTTTAAACGTGCTTAAAATCACTCAGAAAGGTACAAACCCCTCAAATTCTTCAAGCAGAGTCTGTAAGTGCTGAGATGGTGTGTGACAACCACCACAGCACTGGGACCTCTTCACCAGGCTGCCTTCCACTGGCCAGGATTGACCAAAAGCCTGTTAGCTGGGTCAGGAGAAATGCTGGCAATTCACTTGGCTTCTGAACTGGAAGAGGCTTCCTCAATGTGATCCAAGTAAATTGTGTTTAAAAAAATCCTTTTCCATCTCTTTAGATGGTTCAAATTCTATCTCTAATTAAATTCCCATTAATAATGCTCTTGGCTATTGAGTTACTGCAGCAGGGTTAAACATTCTCTAAGCCTGTTGGTTTAATTGACTCTGATAATACAGCTGAAGGAGCTAAATTGTGTTCAACACATCTCCTGCAGAGATGGGGTTTGTCTTGGTGTGTATGAGGAGTCGAGCCTTTGGGTACACACCTGATCTTCTAAAGGAACCTGACGTTTCATGGCTCTTAGCAAGCCAGATGATCCTCCTGCTTCCTGGAGTATTTTCTCTCCAGGGCTCAGAATAGTTCCCCCCTTGAAAGCCTGGCTTAAAAAAAAAACCCTGAAATCTGATAAAGTGTATAGATTTATTGTGAGTTTCCAGCCAGGTCAGGGGCTGAGTTCTAGACGGGAAGTGGTTTTGGTTTTCTGAAATGTTAGATGATTTGGCCAACACAAACTGAACATAAGCTGTCCCAAGCCTGTTAATAAGTCAGATGATGGTGTTATCAATGCTGGGTTTGAGACTGATAAAAGACTCTTTCTTAATATGCTACTGTTATACTGTTTTTTCTTCTCTCAACTGATTTACTGATGTGAGTCTCTCCGATACAGGCTGAGACCCAGTTCACACCAATATGCTAATGCTGCCCCACACATTGCTTATTTTTCTCCAGTGCAGAGGAGAAATGAGCAGCTGATGCTCTCAGCTCTCAGCACTGGCAGAACAGATGTGTAAGAGGGACTTGACCACCTTTAGAAGCAGCAGCAGCATCTCATGGAGGTGGAGATGCTCCAGGACTTGAGAGCTGTCTGTTAGATTACCTGTCTGACTGGGGTTTTTCCCCTCATCTGACCCAGAGCAAAATCCCCAGTGGAAAAAGGGCTTTTTGCTTTGAGTGTCTCTGTGTTGCTTTGAGCACTTCTGCTTTGTTTAATTTCCTGTTCTCCTCTAGTCCTTCTGGTGCCACCGCCTTCAGCTGGAGGAGGCATGCCTCTCCCTCTGTAAAAAGAAACCACTAAACACGCTTCACTGGTCTCCCTGTTCCACAGAAAGGGAAACTGAGGCATGAAGGAAAAGGAAATAGCTCATGGCACATCATGGACCCAGTCAGAGGAGAGAATGGGTGAAAGTGATCCTGGTCTGGTCTCAAAGCCAGGCTCAGCACCCAAGACTGCGAGAAAAAAAACCTCTAAAGGTCTAAGCAAATCCCTAGAGACTGCCCGGTGGGTAGTCCTCACTGCTGGAGGAGATGGACTTGTGCTCTCCACTGTTGCAGAAGTGTTTTGTTTTATTGGCACGGGATAGCCCTCCTTGAGCCTCCTTCCCTCAGCCTTGGACTGGTCCCAATGAGACAATGCTGCAAACCCCAGTTATGTGCTGGAAATTGTGTCCACTGGTGGGTAACGTTTTCTGGTGGAGGTAACCAGCACAGGTTGCTCCAGCAAACCAGGCCATACCTTTTTGTAAGAGACTCTTTGACATGGAAACTGGATGTTGAACAGTGCCAAAGCTGGCAGAAAATATAGTGGCAGTAAAGCCTGCGGAGGATCGGAAGCATTTTTCTGGTGCTGGCTTCTATCAGACTTTGAAATAGCATTCGGAAGCACGATGGAGTTGCTAGCAACTTGGCAAAAAATAATGCATAATGCAACAGGAACAACAGTGCTCGAAACCAGGCAGAGCGAGTCATAGCGGCCAGTATGACGGAAAGGTCTCTCCTGTCCCAAGGATATTCTGATGCCCATGAGTGGGTATAAATAGACCTTGAAGAGGGCAAAGACAGCAACTTGGCAGCATTCCCTGGCATCTCCTCGGGCTGACGTAAGCCCATGTGCTGACTGGCCCTGGCGCGGCAGAGGGAATCCCGGGTGATGGATGTGTGGCGTTTCTCCAGGAGCCTGTCACCGCAGACTGTCCTGTACCACAGGGACCGTGCTGCCCTTCTTGGTTTTCTTGCTGCCTTGGTTCCTGCTGGTTTGAATGACACCTACAATCCTTCCAGGATTCAGAGCCTAGAGCCTGGGACAGGTACCATTATAATTGCATAAATCAAAAATCATAATAAAAAAAAAAAAAAAGGCTTTCCTTGAGCTTTCCTGCAGACAGTTCATTAAGATAATTACTCACTTGTATCAGTCGAATGAAGTCGCTGCAACTGCTGTCCCCGGTGGTGGGCCCAGAATGACAGAAATTGGCAGCATGGTCATGCATCAACCCAAATCCTTTTGCTGCTGTTTGCTTTCTGTCTGCACACTCATCCATCAGGCCAGACACCCCCACGGGCTCCAGCTGAGGATCTCTCTCACCCATGTGTCTGCCCACAGGATTTTTCACAACATTGCTACTAGTGAAATTTATTTTACAAAGATGTTCCTCTTCTTGGGTGATCGCCAGAGTCTTTATTGTTCCATCTTCCTGCCCTGGATCTTTGGTACTTGATCCAGCCAGTATGTTGGCTCATTCACCTTGGAGAAAAGGAGCTGCCCGCACAGGGACCTTCATTTCATAGAACCATAGAATCACTAAGGTTGGAAAAGACCTCAAGGATCATCAAGTCCAACCGTCAACCCAACACCACCCAACCCACTAACCCATGTCCCCAAGCACCACATCGACACATTTCTTTTTTACGAATGAGTCGTATATTGCGTTTCATTCAAGCAGTTTAGTAGGACAGATATAACCTGAGGGACTTCTGGGCCAGGCCAGCATTGCTGGTGGCACCGTACAGGTGGAGAAGTCAAGGCACAGAGGGAGGACACGAGCTGCCCAAAGTTTCGCAGGTGGTCAGCGGGAGAGCCAGGAATAGTGCCCAGGAGGCAACTCGGTCCCAGGGGGAAGATGTGAGCAAAGTTAACACGGCAAATAAAAAAATGATCCCTCTGAAATAAATGTGACCCATAAAATACATAAACATTGACTAGCCATAAACAGCATTTACTATTTACAGCATCAGAGCGCAAGGATATTTGCCAGCCATTTGCAGCTTAAAGGATAAACAGCAGTTCTTTTGATCCTGAGCTGTTGAAAGAGTTCTATTTAAAGCCATTCATTTCTCCCCAGCCTTTCACCCTTTACATCATTTGTTTTATGCTTTGCACTGATCCCACTGCTGTAAATACCACTTTCACAATACGGTGGCGGAGCAGTAAATATCCTTTCTGGTAACGACACAGGTTGGGGGACACTCCTCCGCTGCCTGCAACCAACTGAAATAGAAATGCTGTGGGGATAAAACACAGGAATTGGAGCTTTGACTAAATGGCAGCTTTTGTCCCCATTTCTCTGAGTATTTGAAAAATGGAGGCTGGGAATCCAGCTCAGAAATGCCCACCTGGGAACATCAAAGGAAACCTGAAAAAGACAAAAAAAATTACTGAGCAATTTGCTGAACCTTGGAGTTTGCTGGTGGCTGGA